CAAATACTTTTTAATATACAAGGCATTTATACCATTTTAACTAACAACTATTTCTGGTTTTATGACTCATTTTACCTACAAAAACAAGGCACAGCGATGGGCAAAAGGTTTGCCCCCAGAAACCTTTTACAAATTACCCCCACTTACAAATGTGTATACATAAAAATCAGATACATACAAACACATTTTTTAAGAAAGTTTGCAGCAACAACATAATAGATATATCCAATTGCCGCTACAAGCCTTGCATGGTACTCCAAAAAGTCAGTTTCTTCACTTTTAATGATCAATCTGAACTACTTAAAAACAAATTAATTGAAAAGAAATTATATAGTAAAAATTTAGACGTAAACATAGCAGCTGTTAAAAATAACTATTAGAATACAAAAACACTAACAATTCTATCTCATTGCCAATTATCTTTGATTTTAATAATAAAAGTAACATTGTGAAAAAAATGTTAATAAGCATTGACATATCATAAAACAAGACAACATTTTAAAAACATAATTCCAGATAAACCAAATATTGTTTTTAGGGGGGCACCGAATTTTAAATCCATACTCATAAAACTACATTTTTACAAAAATCTGCACTACCCAGCCCCCATCCTTCTTCTTCTTTTTTTAACTAAACCTATGGGCTTTTTTTAAATGCAACAACTGCACAGTCTGTAGAAGTACCAATTGTAAGGTCAAAACTACACATTTTAAATCCACAATTACAAATAGATCTTATTTTATAAACTGTAACACCAGGAATGTTATATATTTATTAGAATGTCCATGAGGGCTACAATATGTAGGCATGACCACTTGTTGCTTAAAAAAAGGGTTGGCAGAACATTGCCATAATATAATCAAAGGATACAAAAATCACTCAGTATCTAAGCACTTTATTGTACATGAGAAAAATCTTAAATTTTTTAAAATGTGTCAGGATAAAGAAGTGTAATGTTCCATGGAGAGGTGGTGACATCAAAATTTTTTTAGGAAGCACAAAGGTGGAATGGGTTTTTAATTTAAAAACTCTTGCCCCACAAGGTCTTAATGTGGATTTCGATCTCCAGAATTTTCTATAATACTGCTTTTATTTTTAAATGTATTTATTTATGTTTATTTTCCATTTTTATTTGATACTTTTTATTTTTATTTACCTATATTTAATTTTTATTTTTTATTTCTATTTATCTTTATCTGTATTTTTATTTTTATTTCAATTCTATTATTATTATTATTATTCTTATTATTTTTATTTTTTATTTTATTTTATTTTTAATTTAATTTAATTTTTATTTTTAATCTCTCTCTTTTTCTATCTATTTTTTATTTTTATTTATATTTCTCTATCTTCATTTCTATTTCTATACTTATTTTTAACTGCACTTTCCTTCATATTTTCAATTTTACATATAATACTATTTGTTTTTATATTTATAGCAATATAAGCTTTATTAAGAGTGCCCTTCTGACATGCGCAGTAATATAGAATGCCCCACACATGCGTACATAGATTGTCACATGACGCGGAAATTACATTGTGCGCCACATGATGCGGAAATGATGCCGAATGTCACTTGACATATTAAAAAACTTTGAAACTATTAAAATATGCCTTGTTTTTGCATAAACAATCTACTACATACAAGTACCAACAATTTATTTATGAATCAAACGTTTAAATGCTTTTTGATATTTCTTACAACATATTGTTATTGTCCCGCCCATATGACGTCATTTTGGCGCAAATTCAAATATTTTTATTGTCGTTAGTCCCCTATATAAACCAAGAGATGCCAGATTGATTATTTTTATCTGTTTTTATCTACTTGATAAATCGTTGCAAGGCGAAACTTGTTGTAGATATATATTTTATTTATTTGTATCAATAAAGGAATCTTTTAATACCTTTTAAATAGAGTTGAGCGAACCCAAACTGTATGTTCGGGTTGGAGTTTGGTGTTCGGCGATTTAATGGCACGTTTTCAAAGGCTGCAGGGCAGCCAATCAACAAGCGTTTGGTTCGTGTGCCCTTAGAAGCCATCACAGCCGTGCCTACTAATGGCATGGCTTTGATTGACCAGTGCAGCATGTGACCCAGCCTCTATATAAAAGCTGGAGTCTCGTAGCGCCGCACGCACATGCAGTCTTATTAGTGTAGGGAGAGGATGCTGCCGCTGATAGGGACAGCTTAGGAAAGAATTCTGCAAACTAGTACATTAGTGGGGTGGGGTGCACTTCATATCTGAGAGTCAAATAGAAGCTTCAAATACCGTGGTTACATCAGAGTTTTGAAAAGCAATTTTTATTTTGCTGCTAAATAGTACATTAGTGGGGTAGTACATTAGTACACTAGTGGGGTGTACTTCATATCTGAGAGTCAAATAGAATCGTCAAATACTTCTGTCACATTGCAGTTTTAAAACTTAAAATGTTTTGGTTGCTAAAAAGTACATTAGTGAGGTGTAGTGATGTCCCGAACGGTTTGCCGAACGGTTCGCAAACGTTTCACCATGAACGGTTCGCCGCGGACTCATCATTGAGTAAACTTTGACCCTGTACCTCACAGTCAGCAGACACATTCCAGCCAATCAGCAGCAGACCCTCCCTCCCAGACCCTCCAACCTCCTGGACAGCTCACTAAGAATGCAGCTTCAAAATGAATGTAAAATGGATGCTGTCCAGGAGGTGGTAGGGTCTGGGAGGGAGGGTCTGCTGCTAATTGGCTGGAATGTGACTGCTGACTGTGAGGTACAGGGTCAAAGTTTACTCAATGATGAGTCTGCGCGAACCGTTCGTGGCGAACCGTTCGGGACATCACTAGTGAGGTGCACTTCATATCTGAGAGTCAAATAGAAGTGTCTAATAGTGTGCTTACTGCGCAGTGGTAAACATTCTAATTGTTTTGCTGCTAAACTGCTAAATAGTACAATCTGGGGCCTGTTCTTCATATCTGAGAGTCAAATAGAAGCGACTAATAGTGTGCTTACTGCGCACTTGTAAACATTCTAATTTTTTTGCTGCTAATCTGCTAAATAGTACATTTTGGGGCCTGTTCTTCATATGTGAGAGTCAAATCAAAGCGTCTAATAGTGTGCTTTCTGCGCACTTGTAAACATTCTAATTGTTTTGCTGCTAATCTGCTAAATAGTACATTTTGGGGCGTGCACTTCATATCTTAGAGTCAAATAGAAGCATCAAATAGTGCGCTTACTGCGCACTTGTAAACATTCTAATTGTTTTGCTGCTAAACTGCTAAATAGTACATTTTGGGGTCTGTTCTTCATATCTGAGAGTCAAATAGAAGCGTCAAATAGTGTGCTTAATGCGCACTTGTAAATATTCTAATTGTTTTGCTGTTAATCTGCTAAATAGTACATTTTGTGGCCTGTTCTTCATATGTGAGAGTCAAATCAAAGTGTCTAATAGTGTGCTTTCTGCGCACTTGTAAACATTCTAATTGTTTTGCTGCTAATCTGCTAAATAGTACATTTTGAGCCTGCGGTGCACTTCATATCTGAGAGTCAAATAGAAGCATCAAATAGTGTGCTTACTGCGCTGTGGTAAACATTCTAATTGTTTTGCTGCTAAACTGCTAAATAGTACATTTTGGGGCCTATTCTATATGCGAGAGTCAAATAGAAGCTTCAAATAGTGCGCTTACTGCGTAGTGGTAAACATTCTAATTGTTTTGCTGCTAATCTGCTGCTTACATTTGAGTTTTAAAAAGTAAATTTTTTTTTTTGTTCACCTCATATCTGAGAGTCAAATCAAAGAGTAACTTTGATTCGATTTTACTACATCGGTCACTTGTAATATTGTTTGACACTTACAGCACTTGTTACACAGATCTAAGTGATAGAAAAAAGATTGATATTTTCTACACTAGAAACTACCAGATAATAAGCTGCTATATTGAAACCAGTGATCAATAGCTAAGAGTTACATCAACAATATTGTAATTCTGGGACAATACTCTCACTAGACAAACTGAGAGGTCAGTTTACAGGGAAAACTGTTGCCTGGAGGAAATTCTAAAAAAAATTCCATATGTCCTTTGCAGACTTTACATGCTGGAAAAACACAGGTGCCAACTGCTGTGGCTTTCTGCAGTGTGCACACCGGCAAGGAGGGCAGGGTTGAGGAGTGGGTGGAAGATGATGATAAGGTCCTAGACCCCACATGGAATCAAGGTCATGCGCGTGACGTGTGCAGTTTGGAGGAAGAGGCGCTGGTCGCACAGAGGCACCAGCACAGCATAAGAGGGAGCAGGGTGCAAAAGCGGAGTGGCCACCCCTAGCGCTTGTTGGCATGTATTAGCTCGAGAATTACCAGTTATCCAAGTAATACATTTAGTGATCAAAGGATCCATAATAGACTTGAGCGAACCCGAACTGCAAAGTTCAGGTTCGTACCAGATTTAACGATCCATTCGTAGTTTCACAGTGAGGTGGGCAGTCCGGTGACCAGGACCCAGATACTGTCTGGGTGGCGGTCGGACGACCGGGACCCAGTATGCCTGATGTTGAAGTTAGGAGTCACAGTGTGGAATGAATTAGCAGGGTCTGGTGCAGGATAACTGCACGCTCCCTGGTGTTGAACACCAGCGTTTGTGCGGCCACATACCACGACCATGATGCAGCTTCAGTAGAAAGAGTACTTGATACCAGAAGCCATCACCAGACTGATCTGCAACTTAGAACAGGATGTGACATTCACTGTAGCGGCTGTGCGTGCTTTTGGCGTTGTCACCCTGCTGCTGCTCGCCTGTCTGCGCTGCAGCATAACTTCGGCCTTCCCGCTCACCGCCTCATGAGACTTTGCGAGCAGCAGCAGACGATAGGGGAGTTTCAGCTGCAGCACGCACGCGTCAGTGGCTCTGCACCAGACTTCCCTCCAATTGATCAGAGTTGAAGGATTTCAAGTGAACTCATTACAATTACAAGGCCTCTAAAGAGTCCTATATTGTTATTTGTCGTCAGCGGGTCATTTGCGTGCCTGCTGCCTTCCTTGCATGTGGTAGCCGTTTCTCAGGGTCCCTGTACGGAATGGAACCCTGATTCCCCGTTACCCGTGCTCACCATGGTAGGCGCAGAAATTGTCATCGAAAGTTGATATGGATGACATCCGCATGCAAAGTCCCAGCCATGGGGATGTGCGTTTTGCGCGAGGTTTTCTAGAGTCATCAAAGTTCCTGCGCAACTATAATGTCAACAGCTACTCTGCGGAACAGCGTTGTCTTTTTTTATATGTCCCAATATTTTGGGGGCTACCCCAATTAATATATATATATATATATATATATAAAAACAGTTTTGGCTACCTCATCCTCCTCCTCCACCGCCACGGTCACCGCCTCCTCAACCTATGGGTCACTTAGTATAAACTAGGTACACATTAGCAGAGGCTTGTGAAGGCCTTTTTAGAATGTATCAGGAGTTGAGCATTTCTCCATGCATCAGGACTGCAAGAAATGCACGGCAGGCCGCAAATTTTTCTTTTTTTCTATGTCCCAATATTTTGTGGGCTACCACAATTAAAAAAAACAAAAACATAAAATACAGTGTTGGCTAGCTCATCCTCCTCCTCCACCACCACGGTCACCGCCTCCTCAACCTATGGGTCACTAAGTATAAACTAGGTACACATTAGCAGAGGCTTGTGAAGGCCTTTTCTCCATGCATCAGGAGTTGAGTATTTCTCCATGCATTAGGACCTCAAGAAATGCACCCGAGGCCACAATTTTTTCTTTTTTTCTATGTTCCAATATTTTGTGGGCTACCACAATAAAAAAATAAAAATAATTAAAATACAGTGTTGGCTACCTCATCCTCCTCCTCCACTGCCACGGTCACCGCCTCCTCAACCTATGGGTCACTTAGTATAAACTAGGTACATATTAGCAGAGGCTTGTGAATGCCTTTTCTCCATGCATCTGGAGTGGAGCATTTCTCCATGCATCAGGACTGCAAGAAATGCACCGCAGGCCGCAAATTTTTCTTTATTTGTATGTCCCAATATTTTGTGGGCTACCACAATTAAAAAAATAAAATAAATAAAAACCTAAAATACAGTGTTAGCTACCTCATCCTCTTCCTCCACCGCCATGGTCACCGCCTCCTCAACCTATGAGTCACTTAGTATAAACTAGGTACACATTAGCAGAGGCTTGTGAAGGCCTTTTCTCCATGCATCAGGAGTTGAGCATTTCTCCATGCATTAGGACCTCAAGAAATGCACCCGAGGCCACAATTTTTTCTTTTTTTCTATGTTCCAATATTTTGTGGGCTACCACAATAAAAAAATAAAAATAATTAAAATACAGTGTTGGCTACCTCATCCTCCTCCTCCACCGCCACGGTCACCGCCTCCTCAACCTATGGGTCACTTAGTATAAACTAGGTACATATTAGCAGAGGCTTGTGAATGCCTTTTCTCCATGCATCTGGAGTGGAGCATTTCTCCATGCATCAGGACTGCAAGAAATGCACCGCAGGCCGCAAATTTTTCTTTATTTGTATGTCCCAATATTTTGTGGGCTACCACAATTAAAAAAATAAAATAAATAAAAACCTAAAATACAGTGTTAGCTACCTCATCCTCTTCCTCCACCGCCATGGTCACCGCCTCCTCAACCTATGAGTCACTTAGTATAAACTAGGTACACATTAGCAGAGGCTTGTGAAGGCCTTTTCTCCATGCATCAGGAGTTGGGCATTTCTACTTCAATAATTACTAATTATTAATTACTTCAATACATTCATAACCACACTCCCGTGAATCCAAATGACTATTTCACACATTTAAGTCTCTTCTTCGCCCTGCTGTTCCTCCTCCACCTACTAACTTGACCGCCTCAGACTTTGCAACTCACTTCACTGACAAGATCTCTACAATCAGGGAAGAGATATCTCATCTTTCTTCTTCCCCATACAATACTTCCCCTAACTTCACTCCTTCTGCTGTTCTATGTTCATTCGCACCCACTTCATTCGCACCCACTTCATTCTCACGCCTTCAAAAAATCGTTAAAAACCCACTTCTTTATAAAAGCGTCTCAATTAAATTGTTAATAGCTCCTGACTAGTGATGCACCGAACGGTTCGCCGGCGAACAGTTCCTGGCGAACATAGCGTGTTCGCGTCTGCCGCGGACGGCGAACACATGCGCGGTTCGATCCGCCCCCTATTCGTTATCATTGAGTAAATTTTGACCCTGTACCTCACAGTCAGCAGACACATTCCAGCCAATTAGCAGCACACCCTTCCTAGCAGACCCTCCCACCTACTGGACAGCATCCATTTTAGATTCATTCTCAAGCTGCATGCTTAGTGAGAGGAGGGAAAGTGTAGCTGCTGTTGATTAGATAGGGAAATGCATAGCTAGGTTAGGGTATACAGTGTCCACTGCAGTCCTGAAGGAGTCATCTGATCTCTGCTGTAAGGACAGCACCCCAAAAAGCCCTTTTTAGGGCTAGAACATCAGTCTGCTTTTTTTTTTCTGTGTAATGTAATTGCAGTTAGTTGTCTGCCACTGCTGCCAGCTTCTGTGTCAGGCTCACAGTGGATACGGTGCCCATTTGCCCAGTCAGTGCCACCACTCATATCTGGTGTCACAATAGCTTGCATTTTAAAACAAAAAACTTTTTTCACTGTTATAGATTGAATAGCAGTCAGTGTCCTTAAAGCGGGTGTGTCAGGCTCACAGTGGATACGGTGCCCATTTGCCCAGTCAGTGGCACCACTCACTCATATCTGGTGTCACAATAGCTTGCATTTAAAAACAAAAAACTTTTTTCACTGTTATAGATTGAATAGCAGTCAGTGTCCTTAAAGCGGGTGTGTCAGGCTCACAGTGGATACTGTGCCCATTGCCACCACTCACTCACTGGTGTCACAATAGCTTGCATTTAAAAACAAAAAACTTTTTTCACTGTTATAGATTGAATAGCAGTCAGTGTCCTTAAAGCGGGTGTGTCAGGCTCACAGTCGATACTGTGCCCATTGCCACCACTCACTCACTGGTGTCACAATAGCTTGCATTTAAAAACAAAAAACTTTTTTCACTGTTATAGATTGAATAGCAGTCAGTGTCTTTAAAGCGGGTGTGTTACGCTAACAGTGGATACGGTGCCCAGTGCCACCACTCACTGGTGTCATAATAGCTTGCATTTAAAAACAAAAAACTTTTTTCACTGTTATAGATTGAATAGCGGTCAGTGTCCTTAAAGCGGGTGTGTTACGCTAACAGTGGATACGGTGCCCAGTGCCACCACTCACTGGTGTCACAATAGCTTGCATTTAAAAACAAAAAACTTTTTTCACTGTTATAGATTGAATAGCAGTCAGTGTCCTTAAAGCGGGTGTGTCAGGCTCACAGTAGATACTGTGCCCAGTGCCACCACTCACTCACTGTTGTCACAATAGCTTGCATTTAAAAACAAAAAACTTTTTTCACTGTTATAGATTGAATAGCAGTCAGTGTCCTTAAAGCGGGTGTGTCAGGCTCACAGTGGATACTGTGCCCAGTGCCACCACTCACTCACTAGTGTCACAATAGCTTGCATTTAAAAACAAAAAACTTTTTTCACTGTTATAGATTGAATAGCAGTCAGTGTCCTTAAAGCGGGTGTGTCAGGCTCACAGTGGATACTGTGCCTATTTGCCCAGTGCCACGACTCATATCTGGTGTCACAATAGCTTAAGCTTGACATTTAAAAAGAAAAAAAATTTTTTTCACTGTAATAGATTGAATAGCAGTTAGTTGTCTGCAAGCGTCTGGGTGTCAGGCCTCCTTCAGCATGTGCTCTGCAGACCTCTGCCCGTGTACTTTGCCACTCATATCTGGTGTCTCTATAGCATGCTTTTACAAAGAAAAAAGTTTTTCAGTGTAAGCTAATAGCAGTCAGTGTCCTTAAAGCGGGTGTCAGGCCTTCAGCGTGTGCTCTGCAGACCTCTGCCAGTGTACTTTGCCACTCATATCTGGTGTCACAATAGCTTGCATTTAAAAACAAAAAACTTTTTTCACTGTTATAGATTGAATAGCAGTTAGTTGTCTCAAAGCGGGTGTGTCAGGCTCACAGTGGTTACTGTTCCCAGTGCCACCACTCACTCACTGGTGTCACAATAGCTTGCATTTAAAACCAAAAAACTTTTTTTCACTGTTATAGATTGAATAGCAGTTAGTTGTCTCAAAGCGGGTGTGTCAGCCTACAGCGTTTACTCTGCCAGTTTACAGTGCCACTCATATCTGGTGTCACAATAGCTTGCATTTAAAAACAAAAAACTTTTTTCACTGTTATAGATTGAATAGCAGTTAGTTGTCTGCCAGCGTCTGTGTCAGTCTCACAGTGGATACTGTGCCCAGTGCCACCACTCACTCACTGGTGTCACAATAGCGTGCATTTAAAAACAAAAAAACTTTCACTGTTATAGATTGAATAGTAGTTAGTTGTCTTCAAGCAGGGTGTAATCCCTACAGCTGATGTTGCCTCTGCGAATGCGCTTTGCCACCTCCTCTCTCCTCCTACTCATCCTCTTCCATAACCTCACCGGCAGGTACTTCTGCTGCTGCGTCTTGCTCCCATCAGCGGATAGGGGCGTAACGGTGATTAAACTGATAACAATAGTACTAAACACACCACTCTCCTATCTGGTGGCACATTAGATTGCACGCGCAGTGCCCCAAATTTGTTGTGATCTGTGAGTAAGGTAAACGGTTGTCCATACAAGTAGGTTGCAGCTTTTTGAGGGCCCACACCACCGCTATACACTCCTTTTCAATGGCAGTGAATATACTTCGCTGTGCAAAAGTTTAGGGCTTAGATAAGCCCCGGGTTGCTAGCCACCATCTGCTCCGACTTGGCTCAGTACTGCTCCCAATTCAAGCATAGAAGCGTCTGTATGGACGAGAAAGTGTTTAGTTGGATCAGGAGAAGAAAGTA